TAGGTATACTCTGGCTTTAATATTATGATAGGCGACGCGTGATCAAAAAAGGCTTTATAAGCCCCGCTGATCTAATGTATGGGGGTTGGTAAGACGGTAAGCGAAATCGAGAGTGCTATAGGCGCTCTTAATGATTACCGGGGGGGTTTAAAGTTAAGTGCGTTATTGGCATTTCGTGATTATATCCCTACCTCACGAGCTAATAGTATTTCTTTGTTTGTCTCGCTAGAAATTATTGGATTATCTTAAATGCATAATAATTTATAAGAATGCGAACCTGTAAGATATTATGTTGTTGCCTTGAACCGTGGTTCGTTAGGAAACCTTATTCCTCCGATCTCACGTCGTCTACTCCTAAGATCTAAGCCTCGACGAGCCCCTAACTCCTTATTGCTATCGTAGTAGCTATAATAATAGTGGCACTTGCCTTGTATATTCTAGCCATATCCTGCTATAGAAAAGGAGTTAGTCCAAGGATTGGTCCACAATGGAGGACAAACTCTGTAGTAAGCTTCCTCTTCTCGCAAACTGAAGACTCTTAACTGTCATAAATTTACGGTCCACCCCCCCCTGGTCAACGTTGCCCAAAGGGGCGGAACGCATTGTTAGGGTGGGCCAGTGTGAAGACCGTGCTTGGTGGCAAAGGCGTGACGGGTCCGTGCCCGAAGCCCCAACTGAAAATTGGCCCCCCTTCCTTCTGGGCTAGAATGAGATTTGGCTTCTTAGCTACCGTCATCAACCTGCATCTCCAGCGGGGGTTGGGGTTGGGGTTTGGTAATCATCTGTCTCCATAAGGCTGAAACATACCAGCAAATAAATACTCAAGAGGCTACATAAAGCACAACACATTTGACGTGCTCCCATGTCACGGATGCTTGTCTGGTGGAAGTAACGCCGAGGCTTTTCTAATAGCACCATGCATAGAGAATGACGGCGAAATTTTTCTTTGAATAGCCTCTCAGTTCTCTGTCAGTTATGTGACAACTGACAAGAACTATTTGCCCTTCTCCTGTCAGCCAAAGTAGCTCCTTTGTGTGATTCGAATATGCCACAGCTCTCGTCTTCCGCCATCAAACAACATTGAGGCGCCTCAATATAGTGATGAAAATCAGATTGGGCCTGCTTGTGGCCCATATTTTCCTTCGCCCTGAAATGCCGTTGTTGACTGCACGTTTGTGTCCAAGTGTGCCGTGTGGAGTTTGCGAACCAAGTTACCCCTCAATTCGCGAGACCGGGGGTTCTCCCAACTGCGTTTCCCAGGTTGTCGCGTGCTATGAACATGCGCGCGCCGCTCAATAGTATCCTTGGATTAGTGGGCAAGGGCCGGACCGCTCGATCTAAGCTGTCCCAAAGCTTTGCTGAAGAGCGATGACCAGGCATCGACCCGTCATTCCCGCGTAGCACTGGTTTCCCTACGCTCTTTGTCAGTCTGAGAGGCAACTGGCTCCAGCACGAGTACCCATCTGTATCCAGTTACAATTTAAGCGCCACGATGGTGACAAGTGCCAGACGCTACCTAGCCCGAACACTTGGGCTTTGCCTGAGATAAGGCAGCGCAACAGGCAAGCGCTACTTTCAGGTCTGTGCATTAAACATGACCATCCAAATGCTGGGCTTTGATCACTGTTCTTAGTCTAACCTACAAATTAACGTCAGGGGCGACAAGTCGGGAGAATACCAGGGTCTACTGCTGGGCTTTCCGTATCGATCTGCCGCCAATTTACGGAGGACCGGGTCAATAATAGCCTTGGCTCATGAAAAAGCAAGAACAACGCCACAACTATGGTAAATTTAAGGAGTACTGAGATACTTAAGTCCAATTCGATACCGCTAAATGGCAGATAGAGTATCATAGTCTCTAGTGGTTCCCAAAAAGGAAACCCCCTACGCCCCTAACGTTTTATGACATTTGGTCTCAGCTGTGGTTGATCATAGGGATGTAGGAGGATGTGGTGTTGGCGCCATCGGTAGAGCCCTTGACGGTCATCCGTATGTAGGTAGGCCTTTGACTACAGATATCAGTCCGAGCCCCTCCGCCAATAGAAAGGCAATATCATGGGCGGGACAGGGGCTAGCGATAAGACCCCGTCTGAGCGTCTGGGGGAGCTAGGGCCCGCTGCCGGCAAACATGGTAACGCGCCCAAACTTCGGGGGCTGGTGAATGTTAAATAGGAGCACCGGATCTCTCCGGGACAGCCCTACATCGAAAAGAGTCGGGATTAATATCATCGGGAGAACCTAGAGCGACGAGGCCTAGTCATCGATCGGGCTTCTGGCAGGATTAGTGCATTTCAGGGTGGTCCCTAGATCAACTGGTCGAGGCAGTCGGGACCGAGATCGGCGATTGAGAGTCTAATTCAATCGCAATTTAATTAGGTTTTCCGCGATCCTGATTCGATTGAGCCTTTAGTCGATTGAGTTGAATTGGGCTGATCGGGAACCGGGGGGGAAAGAACCCATAGCTAGTTAATGTTATATTTTATCGGCTCCACAAATCTCCTCGCAATCTAGATGCCCGAGCTTCCACTACCGGTACCTTGATAGGCCTCACAACGGCCTCCCTTGCCGCATTCTCGTCCTCCCGGTCCAGCATTCTTGATTGACTTCACCGAGCACGCCACGGGCACACATCGTAGCTAGCCACCCCAAGGGTGCCCACAGGTTCACGGTTCTTCTCACGGGTGGGCATTTTGCAGTTTTATTGGCTGCTTTCGCCCCACCCCGAGGCCTCACCTCGGCCAATCAGATGAGCTCTTCAAGAGCTACACTGGCACTAACATCCAGACACCTGCCTCAATCGTGGTTGAACAGGTCAATTGCAAAGAACGAGTTGCATTTGATATTACCGCTAGCTTCGCAAAATCTCAAATTATGAATAAGCATGGTTAGAGAGTCCAGAGACAAGAATTGTTTACGTCTTTGCTCAGCTGCTTGTCACAATATGGCATTCCACTCAGCCCAAACATGAGTCAGATCCAGCAAAATATTGCGTTAATGAGAGGGGGTGTCGCATAACATTCGTGTGACCGGATGTAACTATCCGGTTTCACATCTGGCCTGTCGCATAATCCTAACGACATGAGCTTAAATAGCTGTGCCCGAACACATGGCTGTTCGATTTCTTTTGTTCTTTAGATAATTCTCATCAATTGACTGGTGCCATCAATGATCCCTGTGGAGCCAATTGTCTGACAGGGGGAAAACGGGTCTTATGTATAGCATATACTCCTACTAAGGCTAGGTAAGATATAGAAGCTGCAACTACTTCCCCCTTATGGGTTTAAGAAATGATACTTGGGCTGGATAGAGATGATGTTAATGGATATGTACCGGTACCTGATTTCACGGGACCCGTGAACCTAGGGGCTGCCACTGTAGACAGCCTGCTAGTGATGTACCTAAGCTCCCAACCCAATAACGTCACGGTCTCGGCCAGGCCAAGCCCAAGGACGTGAGTGTAAGGCCATGGGCATCATGGGCAACATGGCGGTCGGAGCGCTAAGACATGCTCGGTTTCTGTGCTTATCCCAACTCCGTGGACCAATGAAGCGAGGCAATTTCTTGTGCTTGGATAAGGTAGGATGCAACTCAGAACTCAAGGCACCTTACGGAGAAGGCAAGCCGCCCATTTCCCCAGTCACCGGTGTTCATGATCCTCGGTTATGCAAGATTCATCAGAAATCCCCAAGCTTAGAGCGTAAGTGGCTTGGATTCTGAAACAGCAGTTGGACTTGCCAATGATGGTCGCAATGGTAAAGTGCTCAGCTTACCTCGTGAAGGTCGCTGAATCTCCGGTTTGGAAGGTGGAGATTCACACTTGCGCCTCCTTCCCCATCCCCGTTCAGTTTTAGCATTTTACATTGCCCAGCCCTGGTCCTGGGCCGACATCACAACGTTTCCTAGCTTGATCATGGCGCATCACCCATTCAGCTCATCGATATCTCCGCTGATTCCCCCAGCTCAACCCTCGACGCTCACCCTGGATTAACTCCAATTGACTGAATCGGCCCTCCTCCACTGCATCCTAAGCACAGGTCAACTCTATTGCACCTCTTTCTCTGCGGCTTCTAATACAGCATTAAAACACTACATGCCCTCAACTCTCGACGTCATCCACCTCTCCTCTGCAGGCTCTTAGGTCACCTCTTTAACTTCGACTTGATCCTCCCCATGTTTCTTCAACAACTTCTACTTCACAATAGTCGCCCTGTTTAACTGATTAATACATTTTCATCCCTTCTTTAGTTTTTTTCTTTTTTTTAATTTCTTACTTCCGTCTTTATCACAAGTCACCTAGCTACCGACTTGGTTGACATAAAAAATCCCCCTGCTGGAGTCACTCTCACCACAAGTCCTCGCACTCAGAGTCGGCTCGATATTCTTCTGCAACAGATCCTACCACCGCCGAAGTCGCGAATCAACGGCTCTGCAAATCATCGCTCTGCCAAGGGCTGTCCCAGTTACAGGATCTCCCTTACATTCGAGCTCTTAATTCAATCGCCCTCTGACCAGCCGGATCTCGGCCTCGACGTTCCTGTGCCCTAATTTGCTGTAACCTGGGATCATTCAAATCCTTCGTCTGGAAACGAGAGCGGCTAAGAGCATCATCGCCCGGAAGCACAACGTCATTTCCGACTCTCCCGTCCTAAAGCCGCGGCTCTCCCCCTGGACTACTCCCTGTATAATACGACCTGTTCTCTTTGTCACCGGTACGGGCCAGGCATATTATCTGACCCTTGCGACCAGCATCACGTCTCCTGAACCTGAGCATGCCCCTATTGGAAGGCTTGACGCTTCACCGATCTATTTAAGAGCTTCAACGCATTCAATCACCTGCAACCACGGCTCTTAGAGCGGATATCTAAGCATTTATAATGGAACTTCTAGAACTTGTCGAGAACGAACCTACGGCCCACCCATTCCGGTGCAACTGGGAAGAATGCATCAAGGCTCGTGTACTTCTTCCTCTTTGAGCCTTTTGGAGGCTGATACTTCGGATACAGAGCTTCAACCGCAAGTCTGACCTGCAGAGGCATTACCGAATTCACACGAATGAGCGTCCTTACGCTTGCACAATCCCTAGTTGTGGCAAGAGCTTCATTCAACGAAGTGCCCTGACTGTCCATGTCCGAACGCACACTGGTGAAAAGCCTCACCAGTGTCAATACATTGGCTGTGGAAAGCGCTTCTCCGACGTGAGTAGTTCGTAGAGCTGGAAATCCCTCCCGCAATTAACCAGTTCAATAGTCTTCCAGTCTCGCCCGACACCGCCGAATCCACACTGGAGAGCGCCCTTACAAGTGTGGCCACAATGGCTGCTTGAAGAGGTCAGCAATTTGGCCCTTGCTAAAGCCCTCCGGCTAACGAAGGAGCAGTTGCTGCACGAAGACCACGATGGCCAAGCATCAGCGTAGATCGCACCAGAAAGGAATAGACCCCCACAATCCTTTAGACAACTGCTCGTCAGACTCCAACTCTAATAAATTCCCGTCAACTCCTCAGACCCCCTCGATAACTTGGTCTCCTCTAATAGCCGTCAAATCGTCAATACCCCAGGGCGCGTTGCATCGTGCCAGTTCCTACCCTGACTTCGGACAGCAAATGCATGATTACCCTCTTCAGCACCACCAGCAATACGTTGGCCGCCAAACAGTCCGCTCCAATGTTCCTCCCAAGTTCTATTCGCACACGGTTGGTGAACAGCAAGTCGGCATGCATATAATCCTTCGAACAGCGAGTATTCCTCGACAAGCCCGTTATATTACTGACAAGAGCAACCCTGCCTTGTCCCAGTACCAGCTTGCTCAGCAGCAGGTTGAGCGACCTCCCATCGAGATGCCATACTCGACCTCAGGCATGGCGGCGAAGCCGTTTATCCAAAGCAATCCCAGTGCTTTTTCGGCTGCCTCTGTGCAGAGCACCCTGGTGCAGGATAGCGGCTTCTCCCCACCCCAACAGCAACAGCTACCTTCGTACACCATCCAGGCTGCTTCCCCCGTCGACTCTCATCAGAGATTGCCCACCTACTCTCAACCGACGCATCAGGCCATGTCTCAGGCTCAGCGGGCCATCACTGCCCAGGCACGGCAGCAAAGCCCAGTTTCCGCGACCAATAACTACCCTCAGCCGACTTGTCAGCCTCAGGAGGAACTTTGGCCTCGATACCAACCCCCGACCAAGGTGACCACCATTGGCCAGTTGCCCGCCTATGGCACTGCTGTCTATGACTTTTGTGGTCCAAAGATCGAGTTTGACGATTCCATCATGCAATTGCCTAGCAGCAGACTCAAGACCATCTAAAACCCCTCGATAGCGTGCTACAAAGGCATAATTGCATGCGTTGGTTCCCAATTGAGCCTATCTCTGTATCAGGATCATACCCAGGATGGACCAGGCAAATATTATCCCGTTTTTTAATTTTATTTCTTTCACTTTTATTGGATATATCACTTGGGATAGCTGTACGGGAACAAATGCGAGCAGATAACCAAGACGCTGCCAGGAGGGCGCCGAAATCATTGCGGATTGGATGGGACTTACTACATCCCGACTTGGAAGCATTTCTCGGCGTGCTTGCGCTGTTACCCAGGCCTAGATGATAAAACAATATTGCGGGAGTGGAAGATGATGTGTTGTTGTGGAAAGGTCTAAGTTACATGTACCTGGGAGGAGCTATGCTCCTCACGTAGTATCCACATCCCAGCCACCAGCGAACCATCTTAGGGTCTCAACACAGTGGGATGCGACCAAGATTCCACAAATGGTAACGTCTCCTCGCTGGGCAGTACTGTTAGGACGTCACTGCGTGCACGAGCCTGATTTGTTGCCTTTGATCAATTATAATACGCACCCCTCTTTGGCTAAGCCAGTTAACCGGCTATAGCCCCAACTGCGGGTTGGTCCTCGAAAATGACACAGGCTCTATAAAGGCAGCTGGTGCACATGTTTGGTTGTCATTGTACGTTGAATGTAAAGATATTTCTGATTTCGCCGGGCTCTAGTATAATACATCTCCCAGATTTGGCTCGGTACAACCTCTCTAACATAGTTTTCTAGCTAACCGTCGACAGCCTCTGTTCTAATCGTCGATAACTTGACAGTTTGTGTGGCATCCTTCCCATACAAACTTACCGCTGGGGAGCTGTCAGCACAAATACTATTGGTAGGCCGGCGCAATCCCACGGATAACAAGCCACCTAACAGAATTGTCTGCCGTTCTGATCCTGCACCATAAAGCCAGACACGCCAAACTTGTCAGAGATCGTTCCCGCCGCGTCCAGGAAAGTCAACGGCGCCGGAGCTCCAGCCTGCGGGTTATTCGCGGCCTGCAATAGATTGAATCCCTTGCTATTCGCCAAGTCGTACTTAAGCGTCACGTCAGTCGGCAGGTTGGGACTGCTGTACAGAGTGCACGACCGCTTGCCACCATCCTCCGGCATGAAGGTATGCTTCCATACCCAGTTCGTGCACTTGGTGGGTTCCTCTAAACACTTGGCGGCGCAGTCGCAGGCGGTCTTGAAGCCGTCCTTGAAGAAGAAGTGTTGCTCCGTGACGACGCCTGTCATATCGATACTCTGGTAGTACCGGACGCAGCCGCCGTCATCATTGGGAGCCTGAAGGTTGGGGAAGCGGTTCTTGGTGATCTTGCCCTTGCAGATCGCCCAGTCCGAGTAGCGGTCAAAGTCTGGGAAGATGTCGCCGTCTGAGTCGCAGTAGCCACGGGAGTTGTTGAGGGGAATCGCCAAGGTGGTGGAGGCGAGGAGGGCAGAGAGAGCAGCGGTGGTGAAATACATTTTATCGGGTGGCTTAAGCTGATGAGTGAAGATAAAGGCGGTTGAGTGAGTTTGTTCTGTTAAGCAAGTGATTGATAGTAGTGATGGTGATGAGGATTGGGACTTCTTGCTGGGATCTTGACGACCGTTATATACACTTCTGAATTGGCTAATAGGCATAGCTAAATTGTTTTGGTCTGGAGAATATTGGTAACGCCTCCAGCCACAAAGTGATAATCAGAGCCCGGAGGCTCCATGATCCGGCTATGAAGACCTATGCGGCTATGCCCTGGCCTATCAAAGAGCGAGGAGGACATTCAGAAGGGGCTTTAGCCATACTAGTTAGGCCAGGTTCTTACTAAGCGCTGGAGTAGACGAGAAATCTATTTTAACTAGGCCAGCCTCTTCCTGGAATAGCCTGTTGAGGCTCAAGCCTGCCGTTGACAACCGGATGGCTAGGCAGCACACCTCTTCAGAATTCTTGATGAGGCCGCAGCATCGATGTGGCTGGGTATTGAAAACTCCAAAAATAGAGACCGATGTTCTAGATCCCAAGCCACGGCACCACAACGGGATCCGGACACGTCCACGTCAGCCCCGAATGATTGCGTCACCATGAATCAGTCTACTTCGAGCTGCAATACAGCAGCAGTTTGCAGCGCCACAAGCCTCTTCAGTAAGGCCAAGCGGACAGCTCAGTGTCCTTTAAATGCTAGACCGCTTAGTGCGAGGTACTCATCATGGCGACCCCTTGTTCCGGATTCTACGAGTACTGGCGCCGGGGTTCTGCTTAAACTAGTGGCCCAGCAGCCCTACGATTATGTTCAACCATAATCGCTCTACCCTCTCACCTGTTAGTCCTTTCTCTCAGACCAAACCTGCCATAATGTTCTCGGCTGCGGGTTGAAAGTCATGCCACAGTTCGCCCTCCCGTACCGCCAACTAATAGGGCGGCCGGTCATCATCGTCCTGGCTTTCCACCCGCTACCAAATGCACATTATTGTCTTCCAATATCCCTTGTATTGTTCCCATGAATAGTCCTCCAATCTGCTGCCGAATGTCTTGTTCGGCTTCGCATAGGTCTCTTTCCGGTCGATCTCGTATAGCGTGGCCAGTCCAACTGTGGTTTGGGTTTCTGCTGCCTGTGCTGGATCGGCCGGCCTCTCGAACGTCTCACAAATCACTCGTAGCAAGGGTTCGTCGTTCTGTACTAGGGCTTTTAGCGAGAGTAACTCTTTCCTCGCCTTGAATTGTCTCGATTGGGAAGAAAGCTGATGTGGCCTAGCCTAGGCCAACCTCAATACTGGAGCCATGCCCTTCATTGAGCTGCATTTCCGGAACTGCTAGTTAATGGGGGGTACCTTACCGTTGGCCAATACCATAGAACGAAATCAAAAGTCGCCATGTGTCGCCCCAATGCCCATAGGTTATTTTGGGACAAGGGAAGATGATTACTACGGTGGCGCCTTGGAGAAGTAAATAACCTACACGTAAGGCTGCACATCCGTAATAACATGTATGCATCGAAACCTATCTCCTTGTCCAAAACCTCTAGCTTGACTCTTTGTCTATACTATATAACGGAAGATTACCGCGGATCTCTTGTTTATATTGGATTATATCATACTTAAATGCCCACGTCTGTACTCCCTTGATCTCAGCAATGGCTAGACGGTGGGGAGAACTCTGAAAATGGTTTTTGATACGCCGCCGAGTTACCATGATCAGATAAGAGTCGCAATCGAGAAGCCGGTATTCCGGCACGTGTACGAAGTAATCCATTGCGTATAGCTTTGGAGAACCAAAGATAAAAATTCCGTACCTAACTTACCCTGACTTCTCAGTATCAGTAACTCATCTAACCCCTTATTTCATGTTTACTTTCTTCAAGCTGAACATGACGAGACTGATGGTCTGCAGCCACCTCTGGGCCTGTTGTTGTGTCACACAGGGATGGTGAGTGCGCTTGATAACAGGTAGTTCTTGTTATCGATATTGTAATTATTCTTAGTTAAGTTTTTCCTAATCTCCATAAGAGCCCCTTTGGGGCATTATATCTTTGAATAATCCCTCAGCACATTCTCGATTAAGAATCGCATCATTGCCTTCTCACCGTCTACAATATAGAACAACCTAGTTTACTATATATATATATATATAGATATCTATATATAAGTTATCTAACTAATTAAAGTCATAGTAGCATAGCAAATATAGAAAGAATAAGTGAAATGTGATATAATTAGGACCTTTGGCCCTCGCGAAGATAAAATACGGCATATCTTCTAGTTATGACGGAATTAATCGGGGCCGCTTTGGATCTAAATCCGCGCGATCTAAGGTCAGGTAAACGTCTATAGAAATATTCTGACTATACTAAGGAGCAAAATAAAACCAAATCCCGTAGACTATTATTATAAGAGAAGTCATAAAACCTAAGATACTATTAATATTAAATAAAATAACTAGAGGAGTCTATTATGAATGTTCAATATGGAAATAAGCCTACTTAGGCTTGCCTTTAAATTATCGAGGTATATAGCTAGAGAATAGCTCTTGCTATTAAGGAGGGCCTAGGCTTAGTATCTTACTATAAGTTTGTGATTTAAGAAAATGCTATTTATTAAGTATATAAGGCATATTGCGAGGGAATAGCTTTATAATCCTACAATAATTAGATATTCCCTTAGCTTTTATATGCGCTATTAGAGATTCTTAATACTCCCTAGCGCTATAACTATAGATTCTAATAAAATATTACTAAATAAACTTCTCTATAGCGTATTATAAATTATTCTAAGTATTATTATAAAGAAGATCTACTTATATTTTAGTATAGACCTCTAGACTCTTAGACTCTATATAATCTTTATGCTTCTTAGCATTATAGGCGTTAATTAGTTCTTCGTCGTAATAGGCTAGATTAGTATTGATTATGCCTAGATTATTATCTTCTTAACTAGGAGTAATAAAAATATCCTTGGAAGAGCTTTTATTAGATCTAAACTCCCTAGTATTAGCTAATAAACCATTCTTTAGTCTCATCTATATATTCTCTGTCATAGACTTAACTATTCGAGATGACTTAGCCCGATGATTTGTGGTCTTAATATCTTATTTCGCCCTTTATCGCTGCCGCTATCTCCGGGTATGTTCCGTTTGTAGGCGACGTCGACGTAGCGCAGCGGGGTCATGTTCGTCCACAAATCGGAACTCCATTGTTAAATATCTACTGACTCCACTTGAGAAATGAGGAATTGAGGTCTTGGGGGTGTGAAAGCGTGCTAACCAAATTAGGAAAATATAACGCTCACACCAAAAGCTTACTAACCCAGAATAGGAAATTGTAACGCTCTACCGCGCTCTGTTCTCCGTGTTAAGATCCATTGTTTAACGGATCAATGGCTATTCCGATCTATTGGTGGCGAGGATGTGGATGTCTTCTTGTCAATAGTTTCCGGTGGTTAACACCAATCTTTCTTCTTCTTCAATTAACACAACATGCTCATTTCAACATGAACAACTTGCAGCTCCTCATCGGAGCCTGCTTCGTGCCGCGCGTCACCGCGGATGCCGGCGATGATTTCTCCAACCCCCTGTTCACCGACCTAGCTCCGTACGTGTCGCAGTTGGCCTGGTGCCACCCGTGTACTGACGGGACGTTGCATCTAGGCTGCTGGCCCTCTTCGGGGAAAGGGTCACCATGCAGCTCATGAGCAAAGCTATGGGCTGGGCCGACAATGTGATTCTGGCAGTGGGCCCGCTGGGCAAAATCACCGGTATCGTCGGCGCCATCAGGATCAGATGTCCGTCGTGGTTCAGAGCCGTCATTGGTAGAGCGAGGGAGAGCCGTGCTGTCCCCGTTCCGGCCACTGTTTCGTTAGCGTACCGGCACGTCGCTTTTATTCTACAGCCAGCTTTCACGTGTCCTTCGTGTTCTTGTACTGGCAATGTCGAGATAATAGAGCTTCTTCTCGCTCCAGGCGCTACCGCCGAGAAGCGATGTCATGCCGGCCGAAGTCCAATGTGCTGGTCGCGGCGCGCCGGCAACATTCTGCAAGGATTTTAACGCTCTAGCTCAGAACTTACATATTATTAGTGGACACGAAGCTTTTAAGCGTCCTTCCCTTTGCATTTGATAGCTAAACTTTCGGCATCTCTACTTCATAGACCAGTAGGACGGCTGAAGTCTTGGGCGCTTTGCTATTGATACACGCAATCGCCTCAAGCGTTACAAGCCGCTTGGCTTCAGCCGTAGGCAATCCTAAAACGGAAGAAGGGGTTGTTTGCCCTAGAGAGGACAGCTTTCGTTGGAGCCTGGTCCATATCGGAGGCAGGGCATTGTGAAGAAACACCAGTCGTTGAAACGTGTGAGGACAGGATACGGTTTGTCTGTAGAGGCTGAAGGGAGATGCTAGAAGTGTCGATTATGGCGTAGAACCTCGCCTTGAGGTCTCTCAACCTCTTGGGTCCCGTACCTGTCTCGAAAAAAGAAGCCGTCCCATCGGTTCGCAGCCAAAACTCCACCCGCTATGTGGGCTGTCGCGTCGTCGATGCCTCCGTCGTCGAGTGCCCGTAGCGAGAGCAGGACGTGGCTTTTGCCATCGCCGCTATCGTAGCTGGCATGGACAAAGTCGATAAACCTGGCTTGTGGGCATTCGTGCTGCCGAAGATAAGTCGTGCCTCTTCAATAGGGTCGCGAAGCATCTTTGTTCATGATGGTATCATGGTGGGGTTGGTGTAGTTACGTTGCTCCGGAAACGGCCTACCCAGGCCTGTACTATTGAGAAATAACAAACCGACGTATTCAGGGTTCACCTGGGGGAGGCACCACAATATTTCCAGAGTCGCACAGTTCATAGGTCTCCAGGATGCCTGCAGGTAAAATTCTGCCTTCTTACAACCACTTTCCTCGGCTCCCCCCAAACATTTAGCCACAAAGATAGAGAGGGCGTCGCGTCTGCGCTCTAAAACCTAATCCCCCTAACGTAACGCTAGCTCCTGTCGCATCCTGGACAAGACGAGAACACTCAGCGACGATAAATGTCCGAATTAGACTAAGTCTATGGCCCTTACTTAAGAGAGCCAAAGATTAACCTTAAATAGTGCATTGTCGGTTGCCGACCGGGACAAAGTCGAAGCTCTTAATGGCGTCACAATGGACGACGGTGATTAAGAGGAAGGTGACGACGAATTCGAGGATGAATTGTGAGTTGCTTGTCTGCAACGAGCTTTCATAAGTTACTTACGTCTTAGTTTTATTGTAGAGGCGATTAAGAACTACATCATCGACAACGATGTGAGCATGCTGCGTACGACTTGGCCGCGTATATGGCTGATATCTTTCTAGGGTATTCTTAAATTTCTGGTTAAGTGGGAAGGGTTCGATAGTAAGAAAGACTGGACGTGGGAACCCGAGGATAATCTGAAGTATGTACTAGGTACCTCTGCTTTATTCTGTAGTTTTCTAATTAGCATATTGTCTTAAGGGTATCGGGAGACGAGATTCTTAATGAATATTATAGTAAGATTGGTGGAAGGGCTAAGATCTTCGAGGAATTATCCAGAGCTGCTAAAACTAAAAAAAGAAGACGGGCGACGAATAATACCTCCGGCATAATGCCTAAGTAATTGCAACTAAAGGAGGCGTATATTGCCGATGAGACTTTATCTGTAACTATAAAGCAGTGGAGCCCTCCTTTAGGGTCGTGGGAGGATGAGATTGAGACGATCGGCCTATTATGAAGATGTCTTTGTAAGTGATGGCTGCACCGTAGCAAGTCAGAAGACGGCTATTTGCTATCTTGCCGCAGTTATAGCTATCGGAGTCCAGTATAACGGCGATGACTTCGACGTCGGCATAGATAGAGTATTTTATAATATGGCAAGGCACTTCTTCGAGAACCTAATAGAGGAGTAACTACTCGACGCAATTAAGGCCTACGCGCTACTAGCTATATATAACATTATAAATATGGCGCCGGTGTCATTCGCTTATATTAGTTTGTGGTTTTATGATGCCCTGGTATGTTTACTTGGCTATTAGACTGACTTTATTCTTATAGACATCGGCCTAAGCGTGTCTAAGAGGCATAGCCTTAACGAGAGGTTTTATTATCATCTAGGTCTCTCTTATTATAAATAGATTAATTATCGAAGAATATAGAGAACTTTAATATTTCTTTTAAGGTAAGCTTACTCTTATTAATCTCGCTGATATTTACTTATCTTACTTAGCTAGCTATCTTTGACTCTTAGATATATTAAAGGCGGCGATATATCTTTCCGGGAATTAGTTCTAGTATTATACTAATATCATTCTTTTATAATTAGGCAAGGCTCTAATATGAGTATAGTTAGTAGACGTAGAAGGTGATTATTTATCTGAAGTTAGCCATAATAAGCCAGCCTATGAACCGCATCTCTTCTATCTCTAATAGCCATAGTCGTCTAAATAGAGATAACTAAGATCTCTCTTCTAAATACCGATATTCTATAGATATATCTTTTATCTAAGGAAATAACCTACTAAGTAATATATTCTATTAATAAAGACCTTTAGGACTAGCATGATCTGCTTCCTAGCTAGATATATCTCCCTAATCTCTGCCGCGAAGATATTCCTATTGAAGCTCGGCGGTCTATCTTAGCTACCTATCTCCTCTATCTCGGCACTCATATGCTACTATATCGCCGCATTGCCTTATAATTTATTTGGTCTTCCGTAGTAGACGATGGGAGCAATGTTGTGAGGGAGTGTTATGAGGATAAGTTTCTTAACTATGCAGATTAAGCCGTAATAGCCGCGAGATAGTTAGCATAGATCCTAGGCCTATTGTAAGCTAAAAGGGGAATCTTTAAAAGGTATTGATTTATTATGTATATCTCTGCCCGCTTTCTTTATGCTTTATCTGATAGGTCTAATATTATATGTTTTTAGTTTCTAGTCGTATACCTCCTGTGTCGTGCTCCTATATTGCGTCGCCTAAAAGTAGATATATTACTTTTCTCGGTCTTTATGGGAAGATAACCTTATATAAGCCCGCATCTGCCTTAATATGCTCTCTTTTTATAGCACTCTTGACTTAGTGGCACTTAAATTTCGAGACTGCGTCGTCTTTATCCACGATAAACTAACGTCATATATCTTACCCTAGGTAAGTATTAGTACGCCTTAGAACCTATCGTCCCTCGGCTATATACTTAGAGTTCTAATAACCGCCGATCTTAACCGCGTTAATTTATCCCTGAAGCTCCTGATAATACTATGCTAGCCATTTAGTAATATTAATAGCAAGTGTGGCTCGAGTGGCAATCCTAGTAAGCTATGGCCAACAATGCTAGGGCAATTAAAGAAGCTATAGCCGGGCAAGGAAATAAACTAGAGGCTTAAGAGCTGCCTCCTATTTTAGTGGAACCCCCGGGATCTCGGCATTGGCGCATCGGTATTATTGGAGGGCGATAATTGGTTTATAGGGAGTGATCAGCCGAGTAGATGGATTGGGGTCGGGGGCGAAGATGGGTGGGAAGAGCTGAACTTATTGGCTAGCTAAATGGCAGTAATCTGATGAGCTGTTGTCTATATCGGTATTGCCCTAATAATCGATTGCTCTTACGTGTCGCCCGTAATGATTTTCGATCTGGCATCGCTCATAGGCGTGACGGCGTGACCTGCTCTTTTGCACCTCAATCCCGGTATTACTCGCTGGGTGTTGTCATGGTAGGGGGCTAGTCCTCTCAGAGAACCGATATGAGACCGGCATCCAAATCCCCGACCAGAAGCGTCAACGGCAAACTTATTCCAACACCTACGGGCTGAGGAACTAACTCTTAGCACCCATTACATCGTCGGCGACTCTATCCTTCTCTGACGGCGACTTTAGCTGCCTCTTACTCCTAACTCGACGAATAGTATGGTTAAAAATCTCTATTACGCGCCGGGATAGATGGTTCTAAGGTGAGTCTATGGCGTCTCCTAGAAATTAAAGACGTATACAACTAGGAGCCTCGCCCTTATCTCTCCAAGTAAAAGTTAGTAGCCCCGAGTCATTAATTCCTCGGACTTTTCGCCGCTGGTCCCGTCCTAACACTGGCGGTGATGGATTCCGCCGAATTTTGCTGCTGATTTTCCTCTAACCGCTACCTTCTCTATCGCTTGGTGGCTCCGGCGAGCCATTAGAGTTTAGAAACCTAGTTAAGATTGAGCCCTCTAAGAGTTCTCGGATGATTTTTACGGTATTATTTAATTCTGATGGATGTGGGGAAAGTTGGGTAGGCCGAGCTTCGAGAAGCCGAGCCCGAATGTCAGATGGAAGGTTGAGCTCGCGATCGCCGTCTGGAAGGATATAGGTAGTGAGAAGATCCTCCTATTGGTCTTGTAGGTAATCGTAATGGTGCCTTAGGGATTCTTTGGGTATTCGCTTGTTGTCGGCTATTTCTGCGTAGTAAGCTCGGTACTTCGAGGTATCTTCGAGGAATTGGATGGTTTCTAGACAGTGACTTTTTGAGAGATAGGCTGTTATATCGCGTAAGTTCTATGGACCCGGAGATAAATAAGAAATGACGTTATCTAATGATGATATTATAAGGAAACGTTGTCAGAATAGCGAGAGCCTGTCATCTAACGCGGTCATGCCTTGGGCTCCCTTCTTATAACAAAGGTGATGGACATCCTTTTGCCATTTGGCTCCCCACATTTTCGTCTCTGTGGGCTGTGCTCCCAATCTCATGACCTAAATTTCGGGCGAAACACTCCAGGTCATTTGATTGGACGTTCGCCCTTAGTTTTTTTCGGGCAAGAAGCTCCGGCCTGTTTGATTGGATAATGTGCCGGAAAATCATAAGCGAAGATCGATAAGAGATTGAATC